CTTGCTGTGGTACTTGAGCGACGAGGCTCATCCTAGGTGTGCCCTAGGAGTAGGTTTTTCAGGCTGATACTACGAGGCCATCTCATTGGGGATTGTGTAGATAATTGTGAGGGCACCATACCCTCACCTGCACAGCAGCCATAGTGGATACTCATCGGTCTTGCTGCATGCACCATCCCTCCATTCACTGTGGTAGTTGAAACTAGCTGCTCTGTTCGTAGACATCAGGTTTGGGGAACGCCGACCAGGTCATTTCACTCTTCTGGGGCAAAGTGATCCTCTGTCCCTGGGGTGGAGAGACCAGCTGTCTGGGGAGGGCACTGAGGGTGTCCTGCGTGACTCCTGGTGGTATCTCTTGTTTCTTGTAGGAATGCAGTGAAGATGAGGATGGTTACAGTAGCGAAGAGGCAGAGAATGAAGATGATGAAGATGACACTGAAGAAGCGGAGGAGGATGAGGATGAAGAGGAGGAAATGTTGTTACCAGGCATGGAGGGGAAAGAGGAGGTGCACACCTTGTTCCTGTGTTCTGCAGCATAGCGTGGAGCCAAGGGCACGTGGCAAGGGGTGGGGGGAGGGGATGAGGCTCAGCAGGGGGCTTTCCATTCAGCTAAGAATATTCCTTCTGTTTTCCCGAGGCTGAACACAGCTACTGACAGCCTGACTCAAGGCAAAAGATGGAGGGGTAGAGAATATATCTGGGCACCAGGTTGAGACTTCACTGCAGGGTTTGCTGTGCTTAGAAATGCTGTGGGAGCTGGCGTGGGAGGGGCACGTGTGACAGTAGCAGGACAGCTGCTCCTGGGCAGAGCATTGCCCTTGGCCAGGCCGAGGCTGTGGCTCCTCAGCCCATGGCAGATGGCCAGGGACCCAGGATCTCAAGGAAAGGGAGTTACAGCTTCCAAGGTGCCAACTTTTCTCTCTTTGGGGAGGTATCCTGGCTTGCTGCGAGTCTCCTGCTTGAGTTGGGCGGGAGCTGGAACTGCTGCATTAGAGTTGAGGGCACAGCAGGATGTGTTGAACACTGGAAAATCACGGGCAGTTGTGATGCAGTGGAGGGGTGGTTTGATCGTGCCTCTGAGTGAACACACTACTGCCATTTTTCATTCTTCTTTCATTTTCTCCATTGTTCTGTGTGCTTATGGGAGATGAGTTTGGGGCAGAGCTGAGCCCGTGGTGGTTAGTGCTGCTTATCATCTGATCTAGAGCAATAGAAAGAAGCCTGAGCAAAAATGTTTTTCTTGCAGCCTGGCTCTGACAGTGGGACGACTGCTGTCGTGGCCCTCATCCGAGGCAAGCAGCTGATTGTGGCTAATGCTGGAGACTCTCGCTGCGTGGTGTCAGAAGGTGGCAAAGCTGTCGACATGTCGTATGACCACAAGCCAGAGGATGAGGTAGAACTGGCCAGGATAAAGAATGCCGGCGGCAAGGTCACCATGGATGGGAGAGTGAATGGTGGCCTCAACCTCTCCAGGGCAATTGGTGAGCAGAACTGGGGGTGGACAGTGGTGTGCCTGGCCTCAGCACATCCGTGCTTCCAGCACTTGCCAGCCACTAAGTTTAAGGAACAAGTTTTCAATTTGATGATGTTTAGAATCTGTTTGGTATTTCATCTGGTGGGATTTCAGGCTAATTAGAGAAAACAGCCATGAAACTGGCAGTGGAGAGTATGCCCAGCCCCTGCCAGGCTGTGGCACAGGATGCAGTGTGTGAGGCCTTCAGGGCTTTTGTGCCTGCAGCTGGGCTGTCAGAAACCACCCTGCATAATAAACTACCTCAAAAAAAAAAAACAACTTGACTTTTCAATAGGAAAGATTTTCTCCTTTCTGTTGCTTGTTAGGATGCTGTTGAAGTATCTTGGTGTGTTGCTTACTACAGACCTAACTTCCTACCAGTCTGAGCCCATTTGTTCTTGAGCCAGGCTTGTATTTTAATTGTATGAGCTCCATTCCCCTTGTGCAGCGCTTCAGGCAGCACCTGACTGCTGTTTCCTCTCATCCTTTGGTCTCTTACAAGTAATGTGGGAGTCATTAATAACTCAGGAGATCTGGCATGTCTGGTAGCAGCCCAACAGTCTGAGCAGATGAGAAGCTTGGAGGCATTAGGGGAAGGGTAGGCAGTGACACTGACAATATACTAGGAAATGCACAGAGAAGGGAGAGAAACATCAGCAGGTAAGGGTTGAAGTGAAGAGTTCTTGTGTGGAAAGACCCAAACCACAGAAATGATCACCCAGGGGTAAAGAGATGAAAACACACATGGGATGAAATCTAGGGGTCTGTTTATCTAAGGAAACTATTGCCTACTGTTCTGTGCTTGCTGTAGAAGTGTACTCCTGCAGTGTAATGCCAGATAAGCCCCTTAGTCAGAGCTGAGGATTGATTTTTCTCAAGTGAGCTTTAGCTTACTGAGGGTTGAGAAGATCCAAACCCAGCAGTGCAGTGTGGGCTGTCAGGTCGGGCATGGTACTGTCCTATCTAGCCATGAGTTTCTGGAAAATGAGCATCTAACATTATCACAGCAGAGCCATGCTAGCACTCCTCTTTCCTATCGTACAGTAACAGTGTGATGGGCTCACCTCATGCCCTAACGTGTGGCAGATTTCTCTGATGTCCCCACAGTCAAATCTGCTCTGCTAATGGGAGCACCGGTGTCAATTCTGTTAGGGCTGGGTAGTGTTCCTCATTGCTCAGGGGTAGGCAGGGTTGCCAGTACCCAGCAGCTGCATAAATTGATCCTCCTCTCCCCTACAGGTGATCACTTCTACAAGCGGAACAAGAATCTGCCTCCAGAGGAACAGATGATCTCTGCCTTGCCTGACATCAAAGTGCTGACAATAAATGATGACCATGACTTCATGGTCATTGCCTGTGATGGAATCTGGTAGGTAGCGAGGGAGCAGTTGTTCCTGTTTGGCCATCACTGCCCTGATCTGTCTTGGGGCAGTGTGGTACGACCGCTCCCTTAGCTAATAACCCTTCTGACCTTCCCATTCTGCAGGAACGTGATGAGCAGCCAGGAAGTGGTGGATTTCATCCAGTCCAAGATCACCCAAAAGGATGAGAACGGAGTCCTGAGGCCGCTCTCCTCCATTGTAGAAGAGGTAAGGTCCAAAGCTCACCCCATCAGTCTCTCCACCGTCCTGTCAGCACACAGTGATTCTGCACCCCAGCTCCATCAGGCCTTGTTCAGAGCTTAAGGGATCTGGCAGACGTGGGTCGCAGTGCCGGCTGTTACAGGAGCAGAGTTGTGTCTGAATTAGGGGCCACTTCCTTTGGCGCCTTGATTAATGCCTTTGACCCCTGAGTTACTGTCAAGCCAAAGGAGTTTCTGTCCACTTTCAGGAAGCCAGGGGTGCCGAGGGCTGGTTCTGTCCCTTGTCTGGCTGTAAACACCTTCTGAGCCCAGCCCGTGATATTCTGGGCTGGCAGCCCCTACCTGCACTGCTATCAGAGGGGGCCCAATGTCTCAGAATATTCAAAGTGCTGTGTCTCTGCTGTCTGCTAACCTGTCCCATCCTTTCTCAGCTGCTGGATCAGTGTTTGGCTCCAGACACCTCAGGGGACGGCACTGGCTGCGATAACATGACCTGCATCATTATCAGTTTTAAACCCCGCAATACACACCCACCTGCTGACAGTGGGAAGAGGAAACTGGAGGATGTGGCAGCACAGGCAGCACCAGCAGAGGAGAACGGCAGCGATAAGAAGAAGGCCAAGCTGGAATAGCAAGCCTCGCACAGGGACTGTGCTGTGCGCTCACCAGACTCTCGTTTCTTAAACATGCTGAACTCAAGACTCCAAAGTCTTGTCCTTTTTTTAGCCTTAGCAGAGGCCTTGTTTGTCCGTGTCCTGGTTGGGGGGTTGGGGGGCGGGTCTGGTTAGCAAGGGCATGTGGCACTGTTCATCTGTAACCATTCCAAAGAGCGAGCCAAGGGCAGAGCTGCACGCGGGAGCAGCCGGCGGCCGCGGCGTGGGAGCCCACCATCGGTGGCAACCTCTTAGCACAGAGCCCTGTGGTTAGAAGGATGTCCCCCCCATTGTCTCCATGTGGTTGTTGCCATTTCTGTGCCTGTGACTTTCTGTTCGGAGGGAAAGAACTTTTTCACTGTTGAGGTTTTTTAAATCTGCACCCAATTATTTAAGGCCCTTTCTGTTTTTATTTGTGAAACAATCCGGCTGTGGTGCTGCCGCCACACCTCATTCTGTTGTACACTTTCAATCAATACTTTTTTCAAACTAAAAGCCCGGAAAACATAGTTGTACTTCTGGTCATTGGTCCTTTCCTGGAAGTGGTGGGCAAGGAAGGTGGGAAGGGAGGAGAGAACATCTCTTTCCCTGTGTCTCAGGGCACCGTGAGGGTTTCTGGGTTGTGGACAGCTTTATATGGCTTGTGTCAGTACTGCCATTGCTTCTGTGGGATGAACTCTGCTGTTCCATGCTGCTGTGTCCCTTCACCTTGCACCCATGCTTCACCAGCCCAGAGATCTTCGTGACAAGGTAAGCCCGTTCCCAAGTGGCCCTGACCCCAAGTCCCTCTGTTAAGTGCTCAGTAATGACGTGTCCAGAGCTGGAGCTGCTTTTGTCCCCCCCATGCTCCTCCTGCAGTGAGACCCTCACAGGAGGGGTCATTTTTCAGTTTAGGTTCTGGTTATTAAAGAGACTCCACAGAGTCTGTTTGGCAGTGATCTCACATTGGAAATTTGCATTGAGATGTAATTGGTTTTAGAGCACTTACTGCGTGCTTCCAATGTTTTATCTTGAGAACTTTGAATCAAAATGCTTGTGCTATGTCATGTGCCATATCCAAGGCCTTTGGCTCTAATCATGAGTCTGCTATCAGGATAAAATCAGTTTTGCTAAGGCTGACTAGGGGTCAAAAGCACAGAACACAAAGTAACGGGCACCACACAGCCTGTGCCTGTTGTCCGTTGGCTGTGGCACGGCCCAGCCACCCTAATCCCTGCCCCGGCCTCAAAGGGCACCACAGATCAGAGCCTGCTGTGACTCTTGGAGTGTTTTATTTCTCAGCAGTGCCAATGCTCAAGCCTGCCTTTGGGGAAGAGGTGTGACAGGATGGATACAACAGGGAGCAGGCAGTGCTGAGTGTGGGGTGAGGGTCTGCCGAGTCTGGGGATGGCCAGATCCAGGCCCTAGGGCTGCTGATGCCACGTGGATGGCATCCAGGGCTGCCAAAGGAAGGCGTGGGCTCTTCACGTTGATGGGAGTTGAAATGGGTGCTCTGCAGCTCATGATTCTCCCAGCTCACTGCTGCTCTGTCCTCTTCACTCCACTGGGACACCTGTGACGCTGCACTTGTCGCTGGTGCCCCCCAGGGAGTCCCCTGAGAGAGACTGCCCTGACTGTGGGCTGCACAGGCTTTGCTCTCGGCTGGGATGCGGCACTGATTCAATCGCCACTTCCACCTCGATGTTGATGCCTTCTCTGCAGACAAACACATGAGGGCAGCAGCCCAACAGGAGGACGCTGCTGAGTCCCCATCCAGCAGTGCAGTAAGCACGGGGAAGGCTGTTAGGAAAGGGGACTTGCCATGCCACCCTCCCTCGTCCCCAGGTCTCCTTCAGCTCACCGGTAGGATGTATCGCTCAGCGTGCTGCCTGCGAGGGCCACGGTGCTGGCTGAGTGGCTGTCCTGCTCCTTCCACATCACCCTGGGGCGTGGGCTGTGGCTGCTGCTGGGGAAAGAGGTGGCTGGGTCTGCGACTCCGTCCTCGACACCCTTGGGGCTGGGCAGCACTGACCACAGCTCGTTCACTAGCAGAGAGAGAGAGATGGTGCTGAGCGCCCTGTGCGTGAGGAACACTTCAACATCAGGTGCAGAACAGCAGGGAGGCATGTGAACTGGACCCAGGCTGTGGGTGCTCTGCACAGCACCCACAGCCCCCCAGGACACTGACCTGCAACCTCCCCGCTGCCCCAGGCCAACAGGAAGCCCCAGGCCATGGAGCTGTCACAGCCACAGGATCACAGCCCGTGCAGCACCACGCAGGGGTCTCCAGTAGGAGACAGCAGGCAGTGCAGGACTCACGCTTGGTCAAGTTCTCCAGCTCTACCACACCAAGGTCCCCAGGTTGGCTGCGGCCACAGCTACTGCGGCTCCGGCACAGAGACAGCACTACCACTCCATAGACATAGGTGAGCATCAGGGGCACACCAATGCCTGTGGGCAGAAACAAAGCTACTGCCAGCCTGTATTGGCAGCCCCCACCCCTGCCAAAGGTCCACTACTACAGGTCTCTGACATCCCCTTAAAGCTGCTCCATCAGTGGCCCCGTGCCACCAGCCCCTAGATGCACTTACCCACCGTGACAGCTGTTATGATGGGGGACACAAAGAGAGAGAGGAGGACGCCGCTGGTGACGGAGAAGCACTGCTGGCAAGGTGACAAGCTGCTCCTTCGGCTCTGGCCCAGCACCTGGAGAAGAAGCAAGACAGGTGAATCACCTCTGGGGTTTCTGTAGTCTACATGCCCCTCAGGCCAGGGGCTGTCAGTCTCAATACAGAGCGAGACTGCAGAGACCCCAGGACCAGTACCTTCCTACCCGTGTAGATGGGAAGGCCAATGATAATGACAGGCACAGCAATGCCTGCGACGAGGGAGATCACCATAGGTGCCCCCAGCACCATGCCCAGCTGCCACAGGATCTTCCGGGTCCTTGACCAGGGCCTTTTACCCCAGAAGGTGCATCCAGATGGGCTGCAAGGACAGCATGAGGCTGAGCCAACAGCACATGCACAGGGGCAGGCAGACAATGGCACCCATTGCACTCCAGAGCAGCAAAAAAAACCCCACCCCACCACACCATGGACCCCTGGCAAACCCTGCAGCAGAGCTACACCCCTGCTACCTAGCAGAACGTGGCTGTGGCTCTCTGCAGGACCCCACTGCCCCCACAACTCCTGATGGCACCCCCAAGTCCCATCACAACCTGCAGCCCCACACTGACCTCAGGAAGTGCACGTCAGAGATCTCCTGCAGGCAGAGCCAGCAGAACAGGCAGCCGCACACCGTGCAGTTCATGCGGTTGCAGCTCCCATCATTGATCTTCATAATGAAGGCACTGCAGCGGGGACAAACCTTGATGTCTTCAGCCTCAGCTGGCAGGGAGAAGGCAGATGAACTGGGATTGAGAAGAGGACATGACACTGCAGCTCTCCCCCAGCCCCTGCCATAGGGCTGCAGCCCACCCTGTGGGTGTCTGGGTGAGCTGGGCACTGCCAGCACAAGGTCCTCCTAATCCACTACCCCAGCCCAGGGGCTGCACACCTCCACAAAGAGGCAGAATGGTACCACTGGGCCATGGCAGGAAGAGCGTTTCACTCAGATGTGTCAAATCCCCACACTCCCATCCTGGATGAGGTCTCACCATTAGCAGACTCCTCTGCGTAAACCAGCTGTGCAGAGGGGCTGGCTAGGCTGGAGGCCAGCGGCGCTGCTGCACATGGCCCATCAGGGTGCCACAGCTGCCGGCAGTGGTAGCAGAACTCGGTGCCACAGCCCTCACGTCCACAGGTGAGGCGAGGACACTCAGCAAAGCCATAGGCAATGACAGCATAGCTGTGGGGAGAAAGCAGGTAGTTTGCTGGGGCCAGCTGCGTCCGTGGCCTCCCCCTGCATCCCAGCCTGGCAGCCGGGCTGTGCATCAAGAGGTCCCAGCTCTGTGCTGGGACAGAGCAGCAGCCAGCATTCAAGAGCCAGGTGCCACTCTTGTCAGCTCGGTGACCGCAGCAAAGCCTCCCCCACCCAGCACTCACAAAATCCCCCAGGTTCCCCACAGCCAGACCCAGCACAGCCAAGCGCTCCAGCCTTAACCGACGCACACAGCTGCCCAGGTTCTGCAGCCAGAATCAAGACATCTCTCCAAACAGACTCAATCAAGTCACAAGCCTGTAAAAGGCTCACAGCATGCAGGCACACCAGCCTGCCAGGAAGCAAGGAAAAGAGATCCATTCCAGGGGCCAGCAGTCACCTGCAGTCCGGTGCGGGACACCAGCGGGTGCCAGGGTCAGCTGCCAGAAGCCTCCTCAGGAGGAACTCCTCGTATTTGTCACGGAGGGCAGGCTCTGGCAGGAGGCTGTGGACGTCGGCAGGCTGCAGCACGGTGGGGCAGTGTGGGCAGGCCACCCTCACACGGCTCTCGCTGACGGCGATGCGCAGGTACTGCTGCAGGCAGGCCCGGCACGAGCGGTGGGAGCAGGAGACAAGGCTGGGAAAGGCCTCAGGTGGCTGAGGAAGCAGGCAAAGGGGACACTCCAGCAGCTGCCCATCCTCGCCCAGGGGCAGGGCAATGTGCAGCTCCTCAGGGTCCCCCGGTTCTTGCACCGGGTCCGGTGGCATCTCCCCTGCGGCCTCTGCCTTCTGCCCACAGGAGCCCAGGATGCGCGGGGGCTGAGGCACCCACGTGGGCTGCTCCATGGTGGCACGTCAGGGCAGCAATCTGCTTCTGGCAGGCTATGGAGGACAGTGGGGCGATGGCAGCCCCAGTGCAGCAGCCATGGCAGGGCAGACACGTCCTACCTGGGCCTCGGAGCCGGCGTCTCCACAATCAGTGGTCAAACCATCTCCATCTGCAGCCCACACTGCTCAGCCTGTGAAGGAGGTACATGTGATAAGCACGGAGTTCCTGGGCGTGGGAAGGAGTTCTCAGCATCTGTGAGACCCCACTAAACTTTGGGCCTAGAAACTGAGCAGTGGTCTCAGTCTCCCTGCCTTGCCAGCCCTGGGAAATCCACAGGGCTGCACTAAAAAGAACAACCGAGGAGGACATGAGCTGAAGGGAACCTGCAGAGCCCCTCTGCCTCCAAACTGGCCAGAAACTGGCACATATTCTTGCAGGCTAGGTGAATCTCCCCAGTTAAAAGCCTTGTAGCACAGAGCCCTCAGCCTCCTCTTCTGTATGTAAAATAGACAACAGAGCTTGGAGACCCAAAAGCCTGTCATGGAGCCAAATCATCAGATGAACAGGGATTGAGAGATGAGGTAAATCTGTCACAGTTTTTTTCCCTTACTTAGAGCTCACATTAACCTGAAGCCACAACATAAGCCCCCTGACCCCAGGGCTGGTGGATCCACCATTCCCCATGCTCTCCTTCTCTCCAAGAAGTCACACCATATGCTACCATGGTACCAATGTATCCTTCTTGCTTTACTTACTTTAGAATCATAGAATGGCCTGGGTTGCAAAGGCCTACAGTGCTCATCCAGTTCCAACCCCCTGCTGTGTGCAGGTCACCAACCAGCAGACCAGGCTGCCCAGAGCCACATCCAGCCTGGCCTTGAATGCCTGCAGGGATGGGGCATCCACAGCCTCCTTGGGCAACCTGTTCCAGTGCTTCACCATCCTCTGTGCCACCGCCCTTCCTCCAGCAGCCTCTGTTGTTTTTTCCCCTTCAAGTACAGCTAGACCAGCAAAACCCCATTGCTGGAAGGGGCAGACATTGGTGATGACTCAGATTAAGGCAGAGGATTCTGATGACGTCTGCTCTGCTGGGGATGTGCAAGGCACTGCATTGTGCCACTCTGGGTAACAAAGCACCTTGGTCAGGTGGGAAATGAACAGCCAATGGAAACTTGACTCTCCATCTTGGGCCACCGCTGCCATCACCACAGACTTTTATAGAATCATAGAATCATTAAGGTTGGGAAAGGCCTCTCAGACCACTCAGATCCAAAATGCCCACTAAATATTATTTCTGCTTGAAGTTTGTCTGCAGGGCTGGTGCAGCAGGAGCAAGAAGTGCCCACACTATGGCCTCCGTGCTGCCCCACTCCCTGGAAATAATGCTGTTGTTTTAAGGAGAGGGCAGGGCCTCAAGTTGTGCCAGAGGAGGGTCAGGTTGGATAGGAGAAAATGCTTCTCCTCTGAAAAAGCAGCGCTGCAGCAGCACAGCTGCCCAGGGAGGCGGTGGGGTCACCGTCCCTGGAGGTGCTCCGTGGGGATGTGGCACTGAGGAACGCGGGCAGCGGGACGCTGATCTCGGAGTGCCGCTCCAACCCGAATGAATCCACGGTTCCACCACTCCGCCCGGGCCGCCCCTCGCCGTACCTCAGTGACCTCTCAGCGCCGGATCACCGCCGACGGAGCCGCGCACCGAGGATCGCTCAGATCTCCCGCGGAGCCCCGGAGCGGGCGGCGCAGCTCCTGCAGGCGGGGACCGAGCCCGGGGCCGGGCCCGAGGCCTCAGAGCGACGGGGACACGCGCACGGCCTCGGTCACGTCCAGCGCAGGGCCCGGCCCCGGGGACCCGCCCGGTCCTCGCCTGCCTTCCCCGCTGCCCGGCCGGGCCCTCCCGCCGCATACCGAAGCCGCGGCCCCAGCGGCCGCCGCCCGCGTTCCTCCGGCGCCGGCGCTGAGACGGCGGGACGGGAGGGCGGCGGACCGTGAGCACGCTTCCGGGTTCGCGATCTACTTCCGGGGCGTCGCGCCAGCTTCCGGCGCCGGCCCTGTCCCGCGGCGGCCGGAAGCGGAAGTGCCCGGTCGAGGCGGGGCGGCGGTGGCCGCCCCGGGCTGGCGGGGGCGGCTGGCGGGCCGCGGGCAGGAGGGCGGGCGGCGGGGCCGGGACCGACCACGATGCCCCGGCGGAAGCAGAGCCACCCGCAGCCGGTGAAGGGTGAGTGCGCGGCGGGGCCGGGGGACGGCGGCGGAGCCGGCGGCCGGATCCCGGCGGTGACCCGCGACGTTCGGTGTGTTGCAGCGGAAGCCGAGGACGGCCCCGAGGAGACGGCGGGAGCGGCGCTGGTGCTGCCCGGCGACTTGCTGCTAGGCCGCGGCCTGGCCTGCGAGAAGGGACCGCCAGGTGCGTGCCGCCGCCCCGCACGGCCCCGCCGCCACCCCCGGCTGCGTCCTGCCGTCGGTGGCTTCCTTCCCCATCCGCCGGGAGAGCTGCCTCGCCGGTAACGCGGGGACCCCCCGGGCGCGCGGTGCCCGCGCAGGGCTTCTACCTCCCGTTAAATCCCCCTGGCTCTGGGGCTGCAGAGTCGGTGGCTGCACCACCGACCCCCACCAAGTGTCCTCAGAGCGGCAGCGCTCTGCCCCGGGATTCCCGGAGCCTCGCAGGCAGCACTGAGGGCTCGCTGCTCTCGGATGCTGGGCGGGGAAGAAGGTTTGGGGATGCACTGAACGCAGAACGACGTGCACCACCCGGCTCCTGCACCCCATCAGATCCCATGAGGGCCGTGCTCTGGGTACAGGATGCCATGCTCTGTGCTGAGGCTCGGCCCCAGCTGCCTGGCAGATGGGCTCTGCTCCGAGAGCTGCACCTCCCTGCAGCGCGTGTTTGCAGCCCTGCACTGGAACAAAGCTGGCTCCATGGTGCCGGGCGCTGCCTGTGCTGCAAAAAGCTGTCCTTACAGCAGATCTGCAACTAGAAAAGCAGCCCTTCCTGCCCCCAGGTCCAGCCCAACTGGAGAGCAGTATCACGCAGGTCTGGATTCCTGAAGAGCTGAGCTGGTCATGTTCTCAGCCCCATGGGCTGTGTGGGGCAGTGCTGCAGGGGTGCTGGGCTGTGCTACCAAGCTTGCAGGGCATCCCTTCAGCATAGGGCTTAGGGTCAAGGTGTTCCCCTAGCAATAGCAAGGCTGTAGCAGGATGCTCTGGTCTGGAATCAGATCTTCCCAGTGTTTGCAAATCTGGGACTAGAAGACACAAGGGAGCCTGGAGTGGCCTCACTGTGCCCAGGGACCCTGGGACGTGGACACTGTGGGGTGACCAGCAGCAAAGGGGACAATCCAGGGCAAGAGCCAACTGCTGGGTCTTGCAGCCTCTTGAATGCACTCCACGTTGGGCACAACACAGAACAGATGGAGATGGCTTAAGGCTGACTATGGCAAGGCTTTGCTGCATACCAGTACTCTTCTGTCCTGAGCAGCTGCCTGTGAGCACGTCCAGGGGTTCCAGGTATATTGGCTAGATGTGAGTGGCTGCAGGTCAGTGGCTCTGCTTCTGCCATCCCATGCTAGGGCATAGGTGTTACACGTCCTTGTCCAGCTGGCAAGCAGAAATGCCCTCCAAGAGCCTCTCTGTGGGGCATCAGCACTGCGTGGGGTCAGAGGACATCTTTTTTGCTGCCTGTTGCTGGCCAAGGGACAAGGACCAGCAGCCTGGTGAGCTGTGCCCACCACCACCCAGCACAGCTGGGCGAGGGCCTGCAGCAGGACCTGGGGGCAGGTTGGGCTGCCTTGGCCTGCTGTCTGAGCGTTGGGGCTGCAGTGGGCTCCTGGGTACTGCTGGGTTGAGCACAGCTGCCTGACACCTCCTTGCTGCAGTCTCCCCTTCTGGGATCGGTGGCACCAAAATGGGGCCACGCGTGAGCCAACCAAGCTCCCGCTGCTATCCCATCCCATGCTCTTCTCAGCAGAGGCACTGGTGGGGAAGATCGCCATCCCAGCGTACGCGCTGAGCGACGACGACTGCTCCTCAGGGTACCAGCAGCTGAGCGTGGACAGCGACCCCGAGGAAGGCGGCGAGCCCGGCCCTGCAGCGCTGCCCTGCCGCCAGTGTGGGCTGCAGCTGGCTGCCAGCCTGGGCCAGAGCTGCCTGCAGTGCGCCGGCACCGAGGGCGGCCGCAACCAACGCATCGTGTACACCTGCCAGCTCTGTCCCTTCGCCTCCCACTACTCCAGCCACCTCAAGCGCCACATGAAGACACACAACGGGGAGAAGCCGTTTGCGTGCCCGCAGTGTGCCTACGCCTCAGCCCAGCTGGTGAACCTGACCCGCCACCTGCGCACGCACACTGGGGAGAAGCCCTACCGCTGTACGGGCTGCAGCTTCGCCTGCAGCAGCCTGGGCAACCTCAAACGCCACGAACGGGTCCACAGCCAGGACAAGCCCTTCCAGTGTGCCGCTTGCGACTACCGCTGCAACCAGAGCCGCAATCTGAAGCGGCACATGCTCAGCCACCGCCTGCCTGAAGGCGAGGGGCAGCACCAGCAGGACAAGGACCCAGGTAAGGTGGAGTTGGGCGGGAAACTGCGGTGGGAGAGTCCCAGAGCGCAGTCTGGAGATGGGCGAGGAGCACGTCCTGCCATCTTCTGCTGTGCCAATGCCGGTGCACAGCCTCAAGTGGCTGCTGGCCCCGGGCCAGGACACCGTCACCTCAGAGCTAGGGCTGCTCGCGGGAGCCGCGCTCTGCCAGCGCTGCGCTGCCTGCTGACATCCCTGCTTCTCTTTGTCTCGCAGAGCCGCTGCTGCCGGAGCTGAACCTGCACATGGGCAGCGGCACCGGCCCTTTCCTGCCTGGCTGCGCGCGGTTGCGGGGCGAGGAGACGGCAGCGCTGCCCGAGCTGCTCTTCCCCTTTACGTGCCGCATGTGTGGGCTGGTGCTGGACGATGGGTTCGCACAGGACGAGGGCCTGGCCGAGCAGGTCTGCGGGCGCTGCAGCCTGGCGGTGCTGGGCACCGAGCCGGGCGCCAGCCCTCGTAAAGGCACCGGGGACAAAGGCTTCGCTTGCAGCCTCTGCCCCTTTGTCACCCACTACCCCAACCACTTGGCACGGCACATGAAGACGCACAGCGGGGAGAAGCCGTTCGCCTGCCCGCTCTGCCCCTACGCCTCCGCCCACCTCGACAACCTGAAGCGGCACCAGCGCGTGCACACGGGTGAGAAGCCCTACAAGTGCCAGCTCTGTGACTACGCCTGCGGCAACCTGGCCAACCTCAAGCGCCACGGGCGCATCCACTCTGGTGACAAGCCCTTCCAGTGCAGCCTCTGCAGTTACAGCTGCAACCAGAGCATGAACCTGAAGCGGCACATGCTGCGACACACGGGCGAGAAGCCCTTCCAGTGCCGGGACTGCACCTACACCACTGGCCACTGGGACAACTACAAGCGCCACCAGAAAATCCACGGCCACACAGCTGAGAATTGGGTGAACCCACGCAACGCCAAAGCCCTCCTGGCTCCTCCTGCCGTGGACACGGCCCTGCCCTGAACAGCACTTAGCCTGGCTGCAGGGGCTTGGCCCCATGCTGGGCCCCAGGGGGCCACAGGGCACCCCAATTCTTCGCCAGCTGCGGCCCCTGCCCTCCCTGGGGGAGGGATGGGCAACAAGCTCCCCTGGGCTCAGGGCTGCCTTAAGCAGGGCCCACCGCCCTGGGAGGGGTCTCCTGCAGCCCTACGCTGCCTGTGGTGGGGCCATGCCCTTGGCACCACAGGGTGGCACCAGCCTGTTCCTCCTGCCTGTCAGAGCCTTCCTCCGCCAGCATATGGGGAAAGGGAGGAGGGGGAGAACAGGACTGGTTCTGTGGCTGCTGCCATACCGGTCAGTGTAATTTATATTGTGTATAAAAGCATTAAACAGTCAGTTTTGTTATCCGGTATTCTCCCTAGGGACCTTGTTCTGCTTCAGGAGAGGACATGGGGCGTGAGGTGGGGGGGGGAGGATGGCTGCCACCCCACAAGAGACAGCGTAGGTACCAATCAGAATCCATTTTAATCATCATTGCAGTATGTAAACATTGGTTACTGTCCATTAATGCTCTGGTCGGTCTGAGCAGCAGGAGATAGGTGGTTACAAGCCTAGATTACACTGGAGTCTACGAGCGGGTTAGAGACAGGGCTCTGCGCAGAGCCCCACCAGAGACAGCTTACTGCACTCTGTCTCTGAGCAGAAACCTAAAGGCTAATTTGGCATTATGGAGCCTCGTGAGGGCCGCTCGGTGCCACCGGGCTGCTGCCAACACCCCCTGGGGCAGCCGCCTGCCCACACAGCGGGCCAGGCCTGATGTAGACCCAGGTCCTCCCAGGGTGGGAGAAGGGGGGGCTCTGCCCCTCCGGAGCTGGGCTGGGCTCCACGACACCTGCTCCAGGGCTCGGCACCGGCACAGGCTGCCCCGTGGGAAGCCAGCAGCAGGAGGAGTTCAGCTGCCCCCAGCCTTGAAGGCAATGGTGGGTTGGGGATGCACTTCCCAGCCCTTGGGGAGCAGGGGAAGGTGGATGGTAGCAGGTGAGAGGCACGTTGATTGCAACCTGTCTGCAGGTCGTACATTCCTCGGCGAAGGCCCTGGGGCCCTCAGGCCAGTGCTGTCCTAGGAGGGGGGGGCGGCTACAGATCTTCATCACCAATGCCCTCAAAGGCGTAATTGCCATGGAAGTCGTTAGCGCCCACATCATTAGCAGAGCTGGAGTGGCTGATCCCTCGCAGACTAACAGATGTGAGTTTGCTCTGTGAAAAGAGGAGATGTGTTAGGGAGGATCCCCTCCATGCTGCAGCTCAGTCTCAGTGTGAGAGCACCCCCTGCATGCACACACAACTCACCGAGAGTTTGGCCATTGGCTCCCGCGAGGCGTCAGGCGAGTCCTGCAGGGACAGCACGGTCAGGCAGCCTTGTGTCACCCCCCGTGCTCACTGCTCTTCTGTATACCAGCCCTTGGCCAGTGTTACCAACCCTCAAGGTGAGGTCTGGGGGTGCCCAGACACAATCGCCTCCCTCCCTCAAGGATGGCCCCATGGCTGCCTTTTTCTCATCCCAAGGCTACAGGAGTGAGGCAACAGCCCTACTGGTGGAACCCCTCTGGCTCTGGTACCTGATCCACAGCTAAGCCTGCCCCACTCATCTCCCCACAGGGGTAGTCACACTCACCAGCAGTGGGGGTGACTTCACGGCTTGCTGGCTGTCCGAGCGCCGCAGAGCCCCGTTTGCCCGTCGGCGGAACATCTGCAGGGGAGAAGCTCGACTCAATGGCAGGGTCCCCATGGGTAGGTAGCTCCAGGAGCTGAGTTTCCTCCTTCAGCTGACCCCATGCTGAGGAGGGCAACTGAGGCCAAGCCTAGACCTCACAAAGTCACAGGGACAAGGTGGGACCCGCCTAGACAACATGGCTACCCAACCCTTACCTTGCGGATGCTGCCACCTGACTTTTTCACCATCAGTTCATCCACCATGGACTGCAGGCAGATGCTCAGCATGATGGCCTACAAGACAGAACTGTTGTCAGACAGTGGCCCCACACACCCCACGGCCTTCCCAACAGACCATGCTGAGCCCTGACCTGCTTTCTCCCTCGAGCTGCCCCTCATTCCCACCTTTTTCCAATGCCAGTGTGCAGGCAACCCTACCTGTGGACTGGTGATGGTAACCCACTGCAGCCGGTCCTTGCTCATGAGATACTCAAAAGCTAGCTCCAGCTTCACGTCCGACTTCCCTGGGCTGCTCCCTGAGGGACCATTGCTCATCGGCACCTGCACAGACACAAGCTGAGGCACGTGGGCCTTTCACCACAGCCAGTTCCCATGCCCCGAACGGCTGACACCTTCCCCAGGCTTCCAGCCCAGCCAGCAGCCTTGCAGCTGACAGCTGACAGAGCTGGGTCCCAGCAGCCCTCCTCGTGCCCAGGATGCAGGCACTCACCGAGGACGTGACCCTCCAGCACCGCATGCGTGTGACCTTGAAGCTGCCCTCCTTGATCTGCTCGTTCGGCAGCCGCACTTGGAAGTTGAGCTCGTTGTTGCCGGCGCTGACGACGACGTGGCATCCCTTCTCGGGGAAGTCCGTGACGCAGGGATCAAACTTGAGATAGCCGTAGTACTTCAGGGTCTGTGCCAGTCGGATGAACTGTGAGCAGAGCAGGGAAGGTCAGCACCCACAGGCAGATCCGTCAGTTGGAAAGCGGGCACCAAGCTCAGCCCCAGGGCTCTTATGGGGCAGCGAGGCCTGTCCAGTGCCTGGGACTACTCCAAACACAGCATCATGCCCTCCCCTACCTCCTTCTTGGAGACTTTTTCCTGCAGAGACTTGAGCTGCCGGTGCTGCTCCTTGTTGACAAGGATCCATCCGTGCTCGATGTCTGACACCGTCTATCAAGAAGCAGAGGCTGGTGAGCAGCTGGGCCCAAAGCCCTGAGAGCAGCAGAGCAGTCACTGGGGGGCTCCCTCCTCACCCCGCTGGACCACACAGAGCCTCACCTGTGCATACAGCAAGTTGAGTCCCACACGATGCTCCATTACATCGTCGTCATAGGAGGAGTCCCAGTAGCTGGAAAGGAACCACACGAGTCAGCTTCTTCCCCAACTCCTGACAGCAGTGGGGAGAACACGGTCCTGCATGTGGGGACGTGGAGCTGGGCTGCCCCCACAGCCTGCTCCCTTTGGTAGCCCTCAGCAGCCACATCCCTCTCACAGAACCGTGGAGGGTCAGAAGGGATCTCTGGAGATCATCCAGTCCAACTCCCTGCTAAAGCAGGTTCCCTACAGCACACTGCAGAGGAAAGCATTCTCCAGGGTAGTTTCAAACCAGGGAGCCCAGAACTGGGCCCAGTGTTCCAGATGCCCAGGGCAGAACAGAGAGGAGCAGAACCCCTGCTGGCTCATGGTAACCATTGGACACCATCAGCCTTCTGGGCCACAAAGGCACACTGCTGGCTCACCTACTGGTCCTAGTGACCTACTGGCCACCAGCACACCCAGGTCCTTCTCTATAGGGCTGCTATAGGCAGGCAGTACCAAGTCTGGGAAAAAGGACACAAGGACCAACTGCAGTGGGGCAGTCCAGCCTCACTGGGGACATGCAGTGCATTTCCAGGTGGGTCAAAGCACCGCATGGGCAGCAATGGCAGAAGTGGGAGGGTCCTTATGCACTGTGGGGAGTCCTGACACCTCCCCCAGGTGCTGAGTGGCTGCAGCTCACCTCTTGCGCAGGATGATCCTGAATTCAGGGTTGTGTAGGCTGGTGACAGACACATATGGCAGCTCAAACTCCTGCAGCTTCCGCACGACTGCAGGGAAATGGCAGCTCAGCAGAGGCTCAGGGCTAGGGGAGCCCACCAGGCCCTTGTGAGACTGCCCATAGCATGCTCTACTCACATGAGAAAGCTCCATCCTTGGTCTCTCGCACCAAGAAGAGACTGAAGTAGCCAACCAGGTCATCGGGCAGATCCAACTTGGAGGCTACAGCCTATGAGCGAGAGCAAGAGGTCACCACTGAGAGCTACAGTACCTCTGCATGTCACCCTGCAGCCCCCTGGCAGGATCCAGCCCAGGCACTTTGTGGAAAGCCAGGACCTCTGCTGGATGGACGACAGGAAAGGGGAAACAAATGGAGAAGCCAAGGGATCATGGCATCACAGAGCTCCACCACCCTCCCAAGGACAACCCTGCTCTGGAGCAAGGACAAAGCACAAGAGCTCTGGCACCTCAAGAACATCTTCCGTCTGGTCTGAGGTGAGGATGGTGACCTTGACCATCTGGCCATTGGAAAGCAGCACTTCTAGCACCACCTCCTCCGTAGGGATCTGCTGCGTCTCCTGCAGAGAAAAGGGATTGGCAGCCTGGCCCCATCTGCCACCCTATCTGGATTTGGGGGCCCACCACGTATCACCCCGGCCCGGCAGCTCCTTCCCACCTGCTGGGCCTTGCGCAGAAAGCTGTTGAAGGTCTCACTGCCTCCCAGTGTCGGGTCCTGCCGCACTGGGGTGGAAGACAAGCAAGAAGTATTAACTGGGAAAGCACAGGGACTCACATCAGCTCCCACCTGCTCTGCAGCCTCCCAGTGTTTGCACCCAGACAAAGCACGTGCTGAGTGCAGGGTGTGTGCATGGATGGCTGTGGGTTCCCTACAGATTGGGGCATTAGGGGGGTGTAGGGCAAGGGAACGGCCTGGGGATTGAGGAGCAGCACTGGTGGTGCTGTGTACTGCAGGCCGACATTAAGGGAACGATGCCAGCTATTATCAGAGCACAGCCAGGAACTCTGAGACAGACTGCTGCAAGCTCAGCACTGCAGAAGGAAGGGGCCAACGCTTGGGCCCGGGTGGCCACAGGAAGGTAACCTGGGCAGTGTCACCAAGCTGGGGACGTGACCCTGGGCTGCAGCAGCCCGCTTACCAGCCTGCATGTACTTCTCCAGCTGTTCCCTGCGCTGCTCTACCTCCGCTGGGGTGAGCGTGAAGATCTTCTTCGGAGGAAAAGCTGGTACCACGTTCGTGCCATATTCTTTCCTTAGCTGGGAAGAGAGCAGAGCGCTGTGAGAAGCCTCTGGAGAGACAGGGACGGCCCCGACACCCAGCCATGCTGATCCTCAGGGCTCTGCTGAGCAGCCAGCTCATCGCCCGCTCCCAGCCAGCGACCAGCAGGATGTCACACAGTAGGCAAGGCCTGGCACAGCACGCTGCGTGCCGCCCTCCTCCCTACCTGCTCGTGCAGCCCCAGCAGCTGGCTGTAACGCACCCGGCAGTGCAGCACCCCGTTCACGTGGATGTTGTAGGCCTGCAGTGAGGAGAGGCGCGGGTCAGAACCGAGCAGCAGCACACAGAGCCATTCTGGTCGAAGACCTCTACGATCACCCATCCCGACCCATCCCATCACGCGCCCTCCGTG